TCCTTTTTAAGCATCATCAGGAAAATCTGGAGGCACTGAAGAAAGTTGTAGAACTCCTGAGCCCAGGAACAGAAATATGTTAGTCTTATATAACATAATATTTAAAAATTTTTATAAGGTGTTTTGCCTTAAAAAATAAAGTTCAGCACCAAATGAAATGAAGCTTATTCCCTGCCCCTTGACAAAGGGAAGGGAAGAGTTAGACCAAGTGCTCTAGGTCCTTTCTCTAAAGTTAATACTCAGTGGGAAGGTGCAAAGGGTGGAAACTTCAAAAATTTTGATTTAAGTCCACCAGAGGACTGTCTGGCTTGTTTTAACATTGCCGAATTATTAAGAAATTTCCAGAATTTACTTTTTGTGGAAAGAGCAAAGGCTTTGGAATCTGACCGGTACACTAATCTGGATTTGACCACAGGTCATTCTCACAACTTTCCCAAGTCTTCATTTCCTTATCTGTGTAGTGGGGGTCATGATGCCTGTTTCATGGGAGGCTTATGAAAATTAAAACAGGATCGTATCACCGTGCCTAGCACAGAGGGGATGCTTGAGAAATGTTAGCTCCACTTTCTGTTCATCTTGCCTCAGGTTGGGTTCTTTTCCCCCCATTCCAGGACTCCTATGCACATTGTGTACTACGATCCAGAGGTCTTCAAAGTCAAGCCAGCTGCTCTGAAAGCACAATGTTCTCCGAGGGTCCTGGAGTTGGCAGAACCTCTTGCACGTTAAACATGGAAACCTATATCTCTTACTCTCTAGTTGTGTATCTAGAAGACATTAGATGACTTAATTCTCTACTCTGGTACTGTCCGTCTGTATTCACCCCACAACCTCAAAAACATATGAGATCTCCAGGGAACACCGCGTGGACCTTCAACAGCAATTGCTGCTGGGGGCTGGAATCACGTGTCACCCAGGTTTGGGGACTCTAGCAATAAAAGAGATAGCCTGCCTTATCCTTACTACCTTCTCACAAGCATCTTGGCTGTCTGGTTGTGGTGGCTGACCTGAAGAAACACTCTGCCTTCTATTGGCCGGTTTTGCTTCCTCATCCCAGTGAAATCCACATTCCCCAGTAGCTGATCTCGCCTCGGTCCCTTCTCTCATGAGTCCTAAGGATTGAAGACAGTCTTTGTGTTACTTGTCCAACCTTCCCTCATTTCCGAGAAATAACACTGAAATAGTGGAACTCGTTTGAAGATGTCTCAATGCTTTGTATAATCTGTAGGTGAAATTTAGGGAACAGGTTACCTTAAATCAGGGATGGGAAACCTTTTTTTCTGCTGAGGGTCCTTTGGATATTTATAATATCATTTGTGGGCCATACAAACTTATCAACTTAAAAATTAGCCTGCTATATTCAAACATTTCATTAACTCACCCCTAATGTCTTGGCAGGGTCACACCAAATGATTTCTTGGCCTTTCATGGCCCGAGGGCTGGCCCTTTCCCTCCCTTGCTAAATGATCACACCTCCACCAATTACCATTCCTTTGCTCATGCTTAGTGTCATTTATCATTTATCATAAACTAGAGGCCCGGTACATGAAATTCATGCACAGGGGATGTGTGTATCCCTCAGCTCAGCCTGCACCCTCTCCAATCTGGGACATCCCTCTCACAATCCAGGACTGCTGGCTCCCAGTGGCTCACCTGCCTGCCTGATTGCCCCTAACCACTTCCCTGCTGGCCTGGTCACCCCCAACTGCCCTCCCCTGCAGGCCTGGTCACCCCTAACTGCCCTCCCCTGCAGGCCTGGTCACCCCCAACTGCCTTCCCCTGCAGGTCTGGTTGTCCCCAACTGCCCACCCCTGCAGGCCATCTTGTGGTGGCCATCTTGTGTGTTGGAGTGATGGTCAATTTGCATATTACCTTTTTATTAGGTAGGATGACAGGAAAAGAGTTATAATTCTCTGTCAAATTGCATTTGCCCAGAGTTTTTTATTTAGTTTTTTTAATTCTCTCCAGGGATCAGTATTTTACAAATTAAACTAACTTTTATGACATATCTGGATTTACATGGAAATGGGTCCTGGAGCTGGCAGAACCTCTTACATGTTAAACATGGAAACCTCTTATTTAAAAACGAATTTTACAGATGAATGAGCTCTGTCTCTAAGGCTTTTGTGTTAGAAGATAACTAGCGTTATGGAGAGGCAATGCTATATCATTTCAAACTTGACTTTTGGAATCAGACAGACCTGGGTTTGTATTCCCCATGAATCATTTACCAGAGATGTGATTTGAACAAATTCCCTAACTCCTTGTGCCTCCCTTTCTTTATGTATAAAGTGGGTTCCTACTGCATTATTATAGATTAAATCTATACATTGTTGTATAGATTAAACTATATTTAAGAACATTATCTACTAAACTATGAATAGAAAAAATTGTTAAAAATTTAGCTACATTTGCCTTCTAAGGAGGGAATGGCATACTTTATCTCACTGGGAAAACAAATCTCTTTATGGCTTGATTCATACATTAAATAAATGCTTGTTGAGTATCTTTGCTTTGCCAGGTACTGTGCTAGGCACTGAAGACACCACTGTAAGCCAAACAAACATGGGCTCAGCTCTCCTGGACTGTTTAGACAATTGGGAGTGATGTATGTAATTCAAACACTAACAAATAAATGTAAAATTGCTGCAGTGGCAATTTTAAAGTGCTATAAAGGAGAGGTTATAGTACTAGGAAAGGACAGAATAGAGACCTTTGACTCCCATGGGAAGATGAGAGAAAGCACCTTAAGTGAAGAGACAATTGGGCTGGAATCTGAGAATGGAGTAGGGTTAACTAACCAAAGAGGGGGCAGAGAGTCAGTCCAGGTAGTGGGAGCATGTGTTTAGTGGGCAATTTGCTGATTTGGGGGGCCCACCCCCACTCATTCCTCTTCTTTCTGCTAAGAACTCCCATTTTCATTTTGGGAAGTTACTTTCTCTTCATTGTTTAATGCTTTATTGAGACTTTTGTTTAAGGTGTTCTGGCTAAGGGATGGACATATGACCCAAGCCAGCCAAGCCCTTTGAACTGTCCCCCAGGGCTTAGGGTCTAAAGCAGCATGGCACCAGGGGCAGGGCATAGTGGGAGCTGATGTTACCCAGTAGTGGTGCCCTGATGAGACTTCATATTGCTCCTGCTACCTGTGTCACTGGAGCTGCCCACAGCCTTCCAGTACCTCCCCCGTGACAGGTGAGCGGATGTGCGGTAGACTTTTTAGATGGACCCCTTGCGTCAAATTGAAAGACAAAAGGGCTTGTGTAATGCAGGAGGCATTAGAAGGATGGGAGCCAGCCAGATACACTTTAAAGTCTGTATCTTAAAACACTGTGAGTCCTCAATGTAATTACAGGGATGATGTGATCAGGGTTGCCTTTTGAAAAAGCTACTTGACAATAATTGGGAAGGGGGCAGTGGAGGAGGTAGACCAAGTTAGGAGGCTATTTAGCAGATCAGATGAAAGGTGAAGGCAGTTAGGTGGCACCCTGGTGCCGATGGAAAGTGACAGACTTGAGAAATATGTGGGAGGGAAACGTTTACAGGGTTTGGTGATGGATTGGATGGAAGGTGGAGAGGTAATTCCTGACTTCTAGCTTATGAAACAAGATTGGTTTTGAGCGCTTGAATATATAAATGGACAGTGGCCAGGCCACACGTGACAGTAGAACTCTGACTCACATCTTCTGTAGCAGTCAGCCCAGAATGCCCGGGATTTGGTCAATGGTCCTTCTTGGTGACTATTTTTTGCCCCCAGTGCCAACAAAAAGCCAAAGAGACTCCTTTAGGCGGTCACATAAGATTACCTGCTTCTGTTTAGCCTACTTCCAACTTCCCCATCAACAGCCTCTCATCAGAGCATCCCAGATCCTGCCGCCCTGGCCTCACTGTGGAGCTTTCCCGCTCCTCGGTCTGCCTTTGAGCCCCATCAAATGCAAGTGATGGCAGCGAACTCCCAATCTTGTTTCATAAGCAAGCTCTGAGTACACAGCCTGGTGTGTGCTCACTTGGGTGACCTTTACTTACACACCAGTGAGCCCTTCGCAGATGTAGAGAACCCTGGGAGAGGAGAGAGGAGACTTGTGTGTGCAGTTCTGGAACTTAGATTAGAGGACGCCTTTGGAGGACCTAAAAGGAGAAGTCAGGTACAGGGCTGCCTCAGGATGTTCACGGGCCCTGGGCACTTTTGCCTTTCTGGGTCTTTTCTTTTTTAAAATAATAGTAAAAATTATATTTTGTGATTGCATTGGTATAAAGATGGACATATTCACATTATATATGAAAGCATTTTTAACTAAATGTCCATTTTTTTCTTCTCATTTAAAAACTGAAACATCTTTTTGTGAGCTCCTAAAAATATTCTGGGGTGTAGGCACTGTGCCTACTGTGCCCAATGGGGCAGTTGTTATATGGGTCTCTATCGTTGCCACAAGAAGAAGCCTAAAGGGTGGAAGTGGGGGGTTGGGAGGGTGAGATGTGAGAAAGGAAGGGGTGGGGGGCGGAGGGTGGGATGTGAGAGAGGAAGGACCATGAGAGTGTGAAAACTGGCTTGATATTTACTGATATTGAGGGATTACTGTTAATTATATTTAAGAGGGTACTGGTATGGTGATTAGGCCTTTAAAATACTTTTTAAATTTTATTTATTTATTTAATGTATTTTTATAGATTTCAGAGAGGAAGGGAGAGGGAGAGAGATAGAAACATCAATGATGACAGAGAATCATTGATTGGCTGCTGCCCTCTACTGGAGATCGAGCCCACAACCGGGGCATGTGCCCTTGACCAGAATCAAACCTGGGACCCTTCAGTCTGCAGGCCGACACTCTATCCACTGAGCCAAACCAGCTAGGGCTAAAAGACCTTCTTTTAGAAACGCACGATGAACATTTGTGGATGAAGTGAAATCTGGAGTTTGCTTTGCAATAAATAATCTCGACAGGAGGAGTGGATGAGGGTACAGCTGAAAGGACTCATTGTGAGTGTTGAAACTAAGGGGTGGGAATGTTCAGTTCAGTATAATACAGTGGGGCCTTGACTTACGCGTGTCCCGAATAACGAGTTTTTTGAGATACCAGCTGTGTCTCGGCTGATTTTTTGCATTGAGTTGATAGAGTAATTTGAGTTACGAGCTCCTTAACGAGCTCCTTAACGAGCCCCTTAACGAGCTCGGTCTCGGAACGAATTAAACTCGTAAGTCAAGGCCCCACTGTATTCTCTCTTCTGTTAGACAGGTGGGTGTTGTACATAATAGAGTGCAAAGTGGGGATGGAGTGAGGAGGGACAGCTGCAGGTCTCAGCACAGGCTGCAGGGGCCTGAACAATGCACTCTCCTCCCCCCCTTGCATATTTGGTCAGGGCTGCTTCACTCCCCATGTTTGGTGTAAGGGCTGTTTAAGGGAGGAAATCAAGGCAACATGTCTGTAATCCATGTTTGTGGACAGCGTGGAGAGAAGTAGCACATACAAGATGCTGAGATAATTTATAATTTGGTGGAAGGAGGATCGTGGAGTTACAACCCACTAGGAATAGGTAAAATAAGATAGAGGGTGCTCCCACCCCAAATCCAGGGGAATGGGGGGATTCAGAACTCACCACATAATGGACTTTTCAAGGGTCAGCATGTCCCTATTGATTTCTGGGTTGCAAGTGCTTGACACAATATATGAAGATTAAATGGTAACAGAGAAGGTGTTGAAGGTTTGTTTGTTAACCTGGATTTGGTTGACGGA